CCCCCTCCACTTTATTCCATTTAATGCTGTTTCAATTTCTGATTTGTAACTAGAAGTAAATTGATGTGGTTGTCCTGATATGCTCTTCAAAGTTCTACTGTTTGCAAATCGAATTAACCTATTGGAAACGAGAGAAGGATAAGTTAAGGTTAGTATTTATAAGTAGACAATTTGCTCTCGAAATTTAACAGTTCCGTGTGCAAATAAATGGAAATCGGAGTTTTCAGCTAATAAATTTCAATGCTTCGATTTGAAATGAGTCAGAATAGCAAAAACAATCCAATTTTGTCAATATTTAGAGTGATTGATTCAGGTAAATAGATATATGTGTTAAAACTTTCATTGAATTAAAATGGATTTATACATTTTCTGACTTTTAGCTTTACTCTTTAAACACCATTAATCGAAATTAGGTTATCTAACTCATTTGTTTAATTGGTTTCTAATTTGTGTCTTCTTTGCCTTAGATAAAGAGGTACTGGACACTTTGTCACTTCCACTATTGTGAGCATAATTTGAATTAGACTGAAGAACCCTGATTCCTACTTTGTCTTCTATATGTTAAATTAATCGGCGGACTATTCAAAATGTGACTGACAAAGCAGATATTCATTCAAGGCGTTAAAACACTAGAATGTTGCTTAAATTCAGCGACATCATTACACTAGGCTAGTACATTTGTGGGCATAGAAAATTTCTGATAGCCAGGCATTAGGTGAAGACATCGGCCACAGGACATGCCTAAAGTGATACTATGACACATCAGTCTAAAAGCTGTAATCCACCGACTCATTTAAGGAAGGGTCATAAACGCCCACCTGGTGGGCAACCTTATTAGTCAGAATGATTCAGTGCAGTTGGCTATTCCGCTCAGCGAGTGTGCGCCTGTCTGCATCACTGTGCTAACAATATAAGCCGAAGTAATCCGTTTAATTTTATATAAAAAAATCAAATTTTCATTGCCATGGTAGCCATTGACACCTGGACATTCTTCTAATTTTCTAGGATTACTCCTTTGCTTAACTAAATGCCGATGCGTAATTCATAAGTCCTAAATATCGGTCAATTCTTACCAAATCAAGTGGATCAACAATTTGAGCCGCTATTGACATTACTAAGCACTTTCGTAAGAGATTGTAAAATTATTGATTAAACATAGCTATACCTTATTGACTCATAAGCTTGACACAAGCTTGATTCTATAGAACGCTCAAATATTCTGTATCAAACCTCCTTCAACAAAAAGCCCACATTAATTGGTGCATATTGAGCATAAAAGTCAGCTGAAGTAGTCGCCTATTTGTAGCTCTAATAAAAGCGAATGATAGAGGCATTTGCTGCTAAATTTAGACTCATGGGAGGTTGCTGCCAATGGCCATATTTAAGATGGCCATTTATTGTCACTGCTAATGCTAATGCTAAGTTGCCAGTTAATGATGCACTCTGTTACCTTCAATTTTCATATTCCAACCGCAGAATAGAACAGAATCAGATTAAATATCGAAAATGGAATGAATTAGAGGCCACCAGAACAACATTGGATAAGTAAACAGTAGAGTTTACCCCTAATTGCCTTATCACTTCCATTTCATTATGGATGTGAGAAGAATTTATTTATACCAAATGGCAGGCATCTTAATAGTTATCATTAGCCCTTTAGTTGACTTTGGGTTTCACAGAGGGGAAGGAACATCAACGAGAAAAAAAGTTGAGGGGGGGGAATAGAAAAGTGCTTCAAAGATGTAAAGGAGACAGACACAAAGGCAGAGAAAAGGCTAGATAAGTACTGTGGAAGGGGTCGAATATGACATGCAGTGAGGTGATGGTAGTTTGAAGTGAGAAGTCAACTGCCGAATAATAGACTTTTTTGCCGTATGAGTATACGTTGCTCAGGGTGCACCACGTGGAGGTAAGTCTATCACACACTCCGTCTTCGAAATATAAATTTCCAGGTAATTAAACATTACATGTGAGTGATTCGGAAATCATAGGAACACAAATTTAGTGAATTCCATCTTGGCATATCATATCCAGAATGATCGTTTAGGTAGGCTTACGAGGTGCATTCGATACGGAAGTAAGTCAATCATACAAAGGAATTTATCATTCGATCAGAAATTGAGAGCCTGTTTATCGCACTCTTCAATCCCATTTAGGTTCTAATTGGTGGTCAATTAATTACTTGTTTGTCTTTATTTTACAGAACGGGTATTTGAGGAGACTGAGACTGTAGCAGATTGCATTCTTTCGTGGCCAGTCAAAAGTCAGAACATGATCTTCTTCGAAGTTCGAGAGGATCACTTCGGCTTCATTGAATCACCCAAGGTAAGTCCGTTGACAAAATTAACTCGAACAAGTTTTTAATCATTAAAAATTATTGCTGACAACAAATATTAATTTTAGAGCAATTAATGGAATTAATACTTATTAAGTAAATTTTGCTAAGTTTTAACGAATAACAGGCCTTTGGAAAGAATGAAAGTTTTGGAAAAGTAGGTGTTGTAGTCCCCCACATGGGGATGAAGGGTGAGAAAGAGGATCTAATGGAGGCGTTTAATGAAAATGAACATCATAATAGCATTGCCAACAATTGACTTAGAGCTTAGTAGGTGAAGGTCACCTCTTTATGATTGCTTTGGCTTCAAGGCTCTCATATTCTAGCTTCAAACCCGTGAGTCCTGAGAGAGTTCCGGTCCGTGATGTACCCAATCCAGAGCTCATTATATTTTGCTCAGTGTAGTTCCTATTTGAGATTTTTACTATGTTAAGGCAGCTCCAGCTGTTAGTAATATATAGTTATTATAGTTAGTATATAGTTATTGCACATAGGCGGTTTAAATTGCATATATTCAAGTGAAAGGTTACATTATATCCATCTGGGTAGAGAAACACCTTGATCAATTCCCGTAATTGGAACATGAGAAATTGAATTGTTCTTATTGCTATAAGGACTCCAGTTAGCGTATTGATAGCCAAATATTTCAAAGCCCAATTTCTGCAATTTTATTCCCTAGATATCTGGTTTGGGGGGAGGGGGGGGAGGGGGTGTGGTGGTGGGACATTAACAACTGCTTAATTTATTGCAGCTTTTGGTTGAAGGTGACAGGCAAGGACGCTTTGGCCTTAACAAAGCTCAGAAAAGTACACCAGAAGTGGAATGCACTATTAATCCATTATTTCATGTTTTATTTCACTCCTAAGGCGAATTGCAAGATTGCGTCAGGGGATTTTATATTGATTTTTTCAATTATTTTTTTTATAACTCAGTCTATTTTCTTTGATAGTAAATTTCTGAGTTGCTATTTTTAGACTCTGAGATATTCCCCGTTTTTTGGCACGTGAATGCAGTTCTTTAGTATGAATCTCAGCTTTCAATTCACACGTGATATCTTTTCTCGCCTCTATGAGACAATTTTGGACACAAAGTTGATCTGCCTAAGTTGCCTTCCCCCCAGACTAGACTTGTCTGTCTAAAGTGTTACCTGTTGTGAGATTAGCATGTATTTCAACAAACAAGGTTCACTGTAATTCATCCTAAGGGGAATTATTTCATACCAACAGCCTTACTGTGTAGTCTTGTTGAATGTATTTATTGTCATTAATTTAGTTATTCATTGTGCCGATACTTGATTTGTTGCCATTTCGATTAATTCAATTCACCGCCATAGATTGGCTAAGAAAGTGGCTAATGTAAAATATATACCAAGACGAACTGAGCTACAACATGACAGAAATGAGGCATCATCAATGGCAGACGATTTGCCATTCGAGGAAAATAGGGGAAGGAGGGGGGGGGGGGGGGGGGGTAAACAGAAACTTTTCAACTACTAAATTGAAATAAGCGATATTCATTTGCATGGAGACATCCGTAGACTGGTGAGAGATCAGCTGGGTCAACGTTGAAGTTAAAAAAAGGAGGGAAAAGTGGTGAAAATCAACAAGTAAATTAAAGGCAGTGGATAGCACTGTCAGTTCGGTGTGCTAATACGGGAGTCTGCCCACTTCTAAGGCAATTTCTTCAACATAGTCTTATCACTTAATGCTTCTGGTTAAAAAAAGAGGAATGCTGATTGTGTGTATCCATTGATTATTTGTGCTTATTTTACCCTAGGATTGGCTTGGGGAGGCATTTGCAAACGCCAACGGTTTCCACTCCGCCGAGTCCGTTCAGGTTTGTTTCTTCATTTGCTTTTTTTCTTGGCAAATTTTCATAGGTAATTCAATAATTGGCAATAATTCAATCATTAAATCAGTTGTTTTATAGAAAAATTATTTCAAGAAGAGAACATGGAACGCTGTGAACTTATATTTGAAGAGTGACAGTTTCTTGGGCCCTATTGAAATTCCCTTTTAAAAACTGTGGCCTCGAATTTATCTTGACTCTCCTTTTTAGCACTTCTTAAAGCATTTTTCCATTACCTGAGAAAAATACTCGGCATATCATTAAATATCAAACGTCTGCAGATCCTTTGATAGGAGTTGACTTATTTAACCTCTATCCTGCCTAATATCAATAATAATAATAATATTAATAGGGTGCTTAATTTTCTTTTCAAATAAAATATACCAAAAAATGAAATATGAAAATAACGCGTTAATTTATCTTTATGGAAATATTGTATTTATCTTATTTTTTATCAATAGAAGCATCTTTTACATTAGAAAGAGCTCATCTATTTACCCCTTAAATGGATTAATTACGAGCAATAAATCGGAGAAAGTTAACCACTATTCTAGTTTTTTCCCTCAATAAATAAAAATGTCAGACGGAATTAGCAGTGTCTTTATTTCTAAGCTCTGCTTTTATTTTCTGACAGAAAATGCTGCTGAATTTCACATCTTCGGGGTTGGCAGAGTGGCACGACTTCTTGTATATCCGCAAACCAGGTGAGAAGACCTGGACTCGACGCATGTGCGTTCTCCGCAATTCAGGTCTCTATGCCTCCAAGAAGAACAAAAAAACCTTTTCTGTATGTGTATTACTCTCTCACTCTCCATCTCTCTTATTTGCTACTGTGTTAGAGAAATCTATCCTAAAGGTAGCAAATTTTTAGGTTTTAAAGTGGACTCTAGTTCGGGCTTCAAAATGCCTTCTACCACATCAATTTTATTCTATTTTATAACCTTCTAGTTCATATTCTCTAATAGTGCAAAGTTACCATTCGTTCAAACTTACAAATACTTTACAGGATTTATAGTCACTTTGGTTATTCAAGATTAAGTCATAATTGACGCACAAGTGACAAGTCAGAAGACAACGATAAGAATGAATATTCAGTTGTGGGTACAATTGTCTCGCAGGTTAATTCTGACCAACATGCGGGCTGGTTGAATGGGATTTCTTCACAGGAGCTGAACTAGGATACTCACTCTATTAATATCGATTTGTTAACCCACCTCCATAAATGGTCTTTTTTAAAATAAAAGAGGTCTACAGGAAAGTTTCACCTTACATAGAAAGAAGATTTTCAACTGTACATATTTAACTTCAAACAGTTGTGCTGGTTAAGTGCAGTCTTGTAAACATGCTTGGGTGACATTTACCGTCATGCCTTCGGGAAGTCATTTCTCCCCGTTACTGTAATCAATTTACCCTTTCCTTGCATAGTTTAAATAAACTAACTCACTAGATGTATGCCCATCTTCTTCAGAATTCAGATATTGCAGAAAAATCTTTGATTAAATTTTTCGCTCATGAGTCCTATTAACTAAAAACGGTAATCAAAGTTAATCCGTTACGACTCCTAGAATTCTAATGTTTGAGTGGATAGGTTATCTATTGAAAACTCTTTGGGGAGATCTTTCGATTATAGGCTAAGGGAATCCCACCTTTCTAAAAAAGATTAGTTGGATCTTCTGAGGTAAAAAAATTAACGCACCCACTGATTTCCCGTTCGAAGAAAATGAATCATAAATTCTGGTCTTGCTTATTTTAGGCAGAATTGGATTTTTTACATCAATGTATGGTCAGCCATCGCTATGAAGTATGCCATAGTTGCCAAACATCATAAAGGAGGAAAAGATAGAGATTGTCTCCAAGACACCAAACTAAAATATCTTGGAGCAATTGAGAACCTATTTATAAATGGGAAATTGGATTGGTTGGAATGTGATTGGGCAGGAAAAGTTTAGCCAATCAATTTAATTTCATTTTTGATATGACTGAATATGATTGGAACTCTATTAAACCGATGTCGAATTCTAGACCTATTCCGTAGTCGAGCAAACGTCTACCCCCAACCCCCATCCGTTGAAATCTAACCAAAATTTAAGTACTACGACTCGATGACACATCACTCCGTCATTTATAACACTAGGGATTTATGTTGTCTGGCTGTCCGATAACTACAAGACGAGGTTATATTATTCATATATTCGTCAGCTAACCTCTTGTCTTCTTAAATTCCCATGTCACTGGAAATTCCCTCCCCAAAATATCCAAACACAAGGCACAAACCTCCAGCCGTTGCACATTTATAGTGTGCGCCTTTGGTATGTTTATAAGTGTGTGTATGTGTGTGTGCGTGTGAGAGACCACTTGTGGCGACTGGTGGTGATGGTTTACGTCTTTTGTGCTGACATTTTAAGTAGGAATAGAAGCTTTTATCGAAATGTGTGCCGCTAAGACCTTTTAAAAGTTGACTACTCGTGTCTTATTTAAACGAAGGCCATGCACTATTCAACTTAATTGCGGGAGAAAAACTTTGGCGTTTCACCTTCACTTCTTACAGCAATATATGAGGGGTAGAAAAATGCCGAACAGTCATTATTTTTCACTAGGGTAATAAATTCGGCGTTGAATAAGGTCAAATCATCAATCATAAATGGTAGGCGAAAGTTCAGAGGTTTTAAATCGAACTCATGTGGACTTTAGTCGTACAATGTAATTTAATCGACATTCCCATAAGTGCAATTAAGCTAACTATTACTGGAATAAAGTAATACTTGCTACTCATGAAAAATTTGCTGTTTCCTTTATGGTAGGCAAAAGTGTTTACACATTTTTAAAAAAGTTCATTAGCGATCGGAATGGCCAACCACACTAGTTAAATTTGACAGAATTTGAATTTCTCATCAAGGGGTGGGGGTTCGATGATAACCAAAGATAGGCGTTTAGACGCGCTTTATTAAATTGGCATTTTGGTGTGATATGACTGAATTGCATTAGCATTGCCAAATCCTAATGAAGCTTTAATATATCCCATTAGAGTGGTCGCGATAATACATTTATTAATGTCATCGCCACCACTAGGTCAATTCTAAATTTATGTGAGTGTACGAAATTGTTTCTAAACTCGATGACTTAGTCATAAGACGAGATTCGGGCAAATAAATAAATCTTCTATAATTTAAAGTTGGGAAATTTTGGAGATTATCTATTTGGTTGTTTCCTTAACTTTCTCTTAGTCTCCTAAACGCCGCCTATTCTTTAGCCTTCAGATGTTCCACTTGTTCAGGGGAAAGTGCTGCAAACTCCCGTTGCTTAATCTCTCTTTTGCTTCGATTTTTTGTGGGTTATTTTAAGTGGGAAATTCACTTATAACTACTATAATGAGCTTTCATTGAGTCTAGATTAGAGAGCTTCTTTAATTTAATCAAAGAAATCGAAGTTCCGTTTACTCGATCGAGAGAAGTAACAGTTTAATTATTTGAAAGGTTTTTCCATTATTTCCAATTTTTACACCGCAGAAGAATTTTTCAAATAATGAAAAATCTTCATTAAATATCCTTTCGAATACTTTATTTGCTATATTTAAATCGGTTTTTCCATAGACGAATTACGTGGATTTAAGAAAGGAGCAAATTACAGGACTTTGAACTTTGCATTTTAATTGCATATTTAACTTTTCTCTGTGTTGTTTCTTTTTAGCCCAGTGATTTAGTTCGACTCCTAGTTTTGGATGATAAACTCCATATCTACACAACCACCGGTGGCTGGAGCCGAATGCGGGCTCCAACCCCTCATGGATTCGCGCTCAAGGTGCGTTAGCAGTCTATTTAAACAAAGGACTTTGAATAGCATTCAATTACAACCCTGGCATTTCACTTTTTAAATCAATTAATTAATCTAGCAACATATTAACTTAGAAGGCGGACAAGTGTTCAATTACATGGGTGGAAATGATTTACACCACGCCTAAGTTACTTAAATGAAGAAACCGATGGGAAACAAGTGTATATGTGTGTGTGAGGCAAAAGAGGTATTAACTTAGCCCTTATCTAGTCGCATTTTTATGGGTGTTAAGAGGTGGCCAGGCGAAAGTTGAAAAATAAAAATGTCCATGATTGTCAAAGAATAGAGTGGGTGAGTTGGGACTCCAATTTATGGGAATAAATTTAAATGATAGGTGAAAATGTACCTCAGTAGGTAATAGTGAGTTCATAGAACATGTGAACTCGCAAGAAAATGCTTTAGAAAGTAGGAATAAATCTCCTTTAATACTCAGTGGGTGGCCCAAGAACAATCGATATTTACACAGGGATGCACGAAAGAGGATCTATTTCTTAAATTATTAATTGATAGCAAATAAGTGTAGTTAATATGTCTTTTCATTTAGATTACAGGCTCGTTCGATTGACAGGTTTTTGTGTAAACTATTGCCAGTTAGCACCAGCTAGTTGGATTTCGAAAATTTGTGTATATATATATATATATTGAAAAAAAGAAAGAACACCGACAACTTCCTTTCCCATGACAAATTGCTTAGATATTTAAAGCTATTGACGGCCAGTGCAAACCGCTTATTTCAGAGAATCTACAATACTTTATTATCGAAACATAACTCAGTAATCCGCACTTGTAGTAGTTAAACCGAATTCATAATTTAGTTGCATAAAAGTGACATGATCAGTAGGAAAATAATGATTGCTGAATCCGGCGTCCTGGTAAAATACTATTTAGTCATCTTGCAATTAAATGGCTTAGCACATTTTTTGCAGAATATAGACTCTCCATAAGGTTATGACTGAGGGGGGGGGGTGTCTAAAATATGTTCCAATAGCAGTTGAAGTTATCTAAATTTGGAGGATCATGCAATCTAATCCGCGTATTTTTGCTATTGCAGACTTATGCTGCCCAGGACTTTAGTTCTTCCCACGTATTCTGTTTCTGCGCCCCCGATGAAGCCGCTCTGAAACAATGGGCTTGCCGACTTCGGCTAGCAAAGGTAAATGGCCGCAATTTAATCATGCTACTAACCTGTTGTCAGTAGTCAATACATACACGTTTCATTTTAGTATGGAATCAGTTTGCTGCGTGACTATCAGGTGGCCAGGGAGCGAATGAACACCAACCTCGGCGGTGATACTCAAATGCCACATAACACCGTCGAGCTCAAGAAGGTGATGCGCCAGTCTTCCGTTGATTATGCGCGACCCTACACCGTCCAAACGCCCCGTCGTCAAGCTTCAGCTGGAAACCTGAACTCCATTAAACCGATGTGCACACCCCAAATTGGTCAGCAGCGTGTGGCCTCTTTGACTCCTCAACCAACTTCAGTTGTCCTTCGGCATTCACCATTTGAGACTTCAATGAATGGTAATGATTACAAACACCATTCAACTGGAGTGCCGTCTCAACATTTTTACATTCGATGATAGGACCAATTAGTAGCTACTTTCTTCCTCTCCATCCTCCTTTCAAATCCGTTCTTCCGACCTCTCTCATCCTTAGATTTATTAAGCATCTTTTGGACTAACTGACCTCAAACATGTGAATATGTACACATTTTCTATTGTGATGTTGAAAACACCACCGCACATATTAAAACAAATAGACTGAGTTATTCAAACATACATATTTAGGAAACCACTGGCGAGATTTGTGATTTTTGCCTCTCGTATTGATCTGCACCCAGTGAATGACCTGAATTATTATGGCTCTTATTATTACTTTTATTTTAATTTCCCGTGACAGATAAACAGGTCATTTCTACTCGTCTTCATTTTGATTTGTTGGGAGTATTCACTGGCACAGATAACATATTGGGAGTGTAGCGGATTAGCTACCTCAATAACCTTGACTATTCTCAGAACGCTCTATAGCAGTTTCTTCCAACTCGAAAGTCCCCGGGAATTAGTTAAGCTAAGACAAAGTTATAAAGGAGAGAAACGTGTAGCACGGAATACGTTTTTTCAGTACGTATCTCGATAGCGAAATGTGTTTTTGGCACATCGATTAGTTATCAGATAAATCTAGCATAATTCGCGTGAACATTAATAGCTAAATATCTCTGAGTAGTGTTCTGTAGCAGGATTTCTATTGGTGTGATCAAGTTTCCCACAGCAGAAATAGCCGTTTCATCACTTATGTATTAAGGTAGCGTTATACTAATTGGATTGATGAATATATATTCCTGTGGCGGTGCTCTAAGAACTGGCATATTTTCAGCACTAAGTTTAGGATAACGAAGGACAACTTCGGGCATTCATGCGAATTTGGGGGATTTGTTAGGGGTCATCAGGGTTTGCACCTTCAAGACCGAATATGCGTCGGCTTATCGCATCGACCATCGTTGCCATTCCCACATAAGGCGTGGTAATAAATTTTGATACATGCAGGTTAAAATGCCCCATAATTAAACCATCTCGAAATAGGACACCTGATTTTCAGGGGCATTAATTGCCTTTCGGTGAGGAATTATCCACTTTTTTCTTTTTATAATGAAATCTCCACTTAATACCTTCCGAGGACACGATTTTTTGAGGTAGGATATTTGAAAAAAGTTTGCAGCCTTTAGTTGAGCTATGCAATCTAATAGTCTTTTACGCTCCAGACTAATGAGTCGACAAGTCACTGCTAACGAAGACTGTTCAATCAGTCTTTCAAATCAATGCGATAAAAGTTGACTAACTTTTGTTTAAATGGATGCCAGTTCACGTTTATTAACGTCAGGTCTTAGTAGTAGTAGAAAAAATGCGACTTCATCCAATCGAGTCATTTCATCGATATTCTTTGTAGGTGATCTTCGTCCATCTACTTCCCATTCACAAAAACATGGAAATTGGAAATCAATAAATAACGAGCTAATAGAATTTTCTTCATATTTAATCAAAATTTTCTTTACAAAGTGGAGTTATTAGCTTAATACCTGGCCTATATCCCCAATCTGACGTAAAAATTTTAAGCTAATTTTATTTGGCTTTTTTAATGTCAGTATGTACGTCTTGTGATTTCTGCCCACGTATCTTTTGCATTAAGTATGAAAAACTGAACGAAACAGACGGAATTTTCCAATATTTTGTTGAAGATTTGTTTAACTTTATGTAGTTTTCCATTTGTTTGACAAATTTTATTACGAAAGAAGAATTTTGTGTAATTTAGGCAAATCTAAAATTGGTATTTCGGAGAAATAATGAAATTCTTAATTGTCTCTCCATTCTGGAAAAATGTGTAAAAATATTTGTTAAACTATTAATCGTGCTCATGCTTTAGAATGGCTTAGCATCGAATAGTTGCAGTGACTTTCAAAAAAGTATTCATTTTTTATTGACGTTGACGATGTCATTTAAATATGCAGGATGCTGGAAACGCATGAATGAAGATGCATCATTCATAAATGTCCATCATCCAGTTCATATTCAAACCCCTCTCAAATTACGGTAATTGCGGTGAGCACCTACCCTATTGCAAAATTTACCAGGTAAACTAATCTGTCTCAGTATCTGCATCCATGTGATTCCAGTCGTATATCCGTTTAATTTTACCTCCAATAGGAATACTTGAAACGTAATAATTAAAACAATAAAAAAGATGAGTGCTTTTATGAAATCAAAATAAAAAAGATGCCAAATCAGTAAACTGCAGTAAAAAATAACATCTAGTCAATGTCACCGGGAATTATGGCTAGTAAGTGACTATTCTACATTGCGAATAATATTCAATCCAAATAAAATGCTACCAGTATCTATGTCTCTCTTGCCAGCATTGCTTAACGACTTATAACTATATTTAGTTTGACACAGCAACAAAGTCAGAGTGACTGCCAATTACTGTAGGGTTATTGACCTTTATCCTTACTTACTGATCGCTCTATTTTAATGAACTTAATTAGCTTTACCATTTAAGCATTTTAATTTGACAAAGCTGTATTTGTATCAACCAATTACTTTCAGTAGTGCGTCTCTTTAGTGGACCTTTGTCTCTTGCCTAAAGTGGCTGTGATTTCTAAATCAAATAAATAGAAAAAATGCAGAAATTGAATTCCCACTCCCACTTAAAGGAGATGCGCGTTGTTAAAGATGTTGTGTGATCGAGGTTGGAGTAAATAGGATTACAAGCGCCGTAGTTTAGTAAATCCGATGAAGATGTGGGACCCGTTATCGCTGTGTGCGTCATCGTATGCCTGCATGTCTGCTCGCCAGAATTGGGAGGTGCGGCCGTACAAACAGTGACCAATCATCAACCTCTGTTTAACCTAATCCCCCATCCTGATCATGAGTAGCTCCCCGCGTGTACACTTTATCCGCAATGCCCGTACTGAATAAGCGTGCCCCGTGCTTCACGTCTGTTTCTTTTATAGCTGGGCCGTGGCTTAGCTGGTTCCGGGAGTCTAGCTACATGTTGGAGAATCTACCGTAGTTATTTCTGAGTCGGTCAGGCTTTACTAGCGTAGCAATCCGCTACAAAGAAATGAGGTTTGGCGATGCAGAAAGTAAATAGAAATTATTAAATAGAGATTGCATCTCAAGGATCGATCTAATTGTTCTAAACGGGTAATGCAAAAACCGTGTTTTATAATAAATATTTTCTCGGATTGTCGATTTGACCTAGTTCTTTTCCCTTAAATATTGGGCTACATCCCAATCCACCTAAGACTGATCCGTCGGTATGTATGGGTCCATAATAATCTCCCGTCTCCTAACGCTTGTATACCACAATTTACCCCTTCTGACAAATTTAATTCAACTGACAACTCTAACTTAGGTATGCAGCCTACGAAAGCCCACTGACATAAAAGATAACTAATTTTCCTCTATTTTTGGCTTGCTATTCCCTTCGAAGTCGTTATCCAACAGTCATGATAAGAACATGAAGTTCATTATAGGCTTCTAATAACAAAGTGAAGAGATTTTGTAACCATTGAGAATAAACCAGTGGTTTTACCCGCTTTTTTTGTTTAAATTTAACTTTCTACCCAACCCAAGATTAGCCTTTCTCCGGTCTGAAACCATTTGAAAACTGCCGTGTCGAGCACTTGAAATTAACTAATTACTCCTAAGGTGACAAATTATTTAGTTTCATAAAGAGCGCTCCCATGTTTAATGAGCTTGCAAGTTAGTTGGCTTCGCTTCACGGCGCATTGAAATGGAAATTAATAGTTAATGAACCACCTGGTTAGGTGCTTACTAGCAAATAATTTAGCAATGTTCTAAGAAATTAACATATTGCCTGTGGAATTATGTTCCTTTTAATTCTATTTTTTTAGTTGTACTATTTATTCCAGTTAATATGATATGATATAATATATATATATATATATATATATATATATAAATTACTTACTCTACTATTGATGAAGACGGTGTAACGAGGTAACTGGATTTACTAATTTTAATAAACACTATTAATTTAAAAGTTGGATAATTAGAACTGATGCCAAATCATGCGTGCATTTATATGCACTTTTTAACAAGCATCTAAAATTTAAATAGCTTGTGCCATATCAAAGGAAATGGAGCGCGTGGTGAGAATGGCGTTTATTGTAGTAGTGTCACAGACACCGTTTAGGAGTTAAAAAAGTGATTTGCTAGAAAATGCGGCGAATGTTGATTGGCGGCTGCTTGTGAGGTTACCGAACTCACGCCGCACTTGTGACCTCGAGATAGCCAGCAACACACCCTGAAGCCTGTCTGGGTGGGTATGAGATTCCTTTGTTTTGCCATACTGACGCTGTGCACTCCACAAATTCCTCCCCCCTTTGATCCTTTATAATTGGCCTTAGCAAATAATTTATTGAACTTTTGGCAATACCGAAATATACATTTCAATAGAGATTTTTATTCTGCTATTAAAATGATTTCGTTGAAATCGTTCGTGGCATTAAATCCTTTCATTTTACTAGTAACATTTGGTGTTTAATAGAACATTGTTCGTACCTTTACTATTTCTACCACAGCAGATGTTGTCATGATATTTTTTGAAAAGTAATCAGTCGCGCAATAAGATGGATTTCAACATGATCGCTCAGAAGATCAGTTTACATGGCGATAGCTCAAAACCTTTCCTTCTGCCACGTCCCGTACCATGATTATGGCTCGTGTGCTCTCATCACTTTCTCTCCCTCCCCTCTTTACTCTCACAATCTGTGCCGAATTAATATATGATTTCATACTTTACTCCGAATGTTCGATAACTGTGGTCTTCAACGGCCTAGAAGTGGAGACTCTTAGGACCTTTTCAGGCATTGCGTAGACACACCCTAATGATTTGAAAATAGTTGAAAAAAACAGAAAGCAAAATTGGCTTCCTTTTTTAAGGAATTAGTTACTCGGTAATTTGAAGGTTAAATGCATACCTCAAAGAAGTTTAGCTCACAGCGTGTCCTTAATTTGGTGCCCCTGGATGCCCCGAACTTTTACAATAAATGCTGTTGTTCACCATTCCTGACTGGGGGAAATTCCACTTCATACATGGCCAGTAAAACTAGTGCGGAAGATTAACATTAATTGTTTAATCCTTTAACGTCTTGCAAGATGGTGCGGCCCTCTTTCAAAATAAGCTCCATTGGTACTAGACTCGTAACAGAAGGCACTGTTGCCGTTTGAAGCATGTTTGGTAAGTCCATTGACTTCGCTTGACATGACTAAAATTCATCACGTCGGCGGCATCAGTCTGCTGCTGTGACACACGCGTGAGTGCGAGTTGGGTGCATTTTCCAAAACAGATCATTCGGGCGTTAAAGGGTTAGAGTGATCAACTACCCATTTTCTTAGGTAATTACGAACAACAAATTACTTACGACCCGCCACCTTCACACGGCCTTAATTCTCAAATAAAGCAAAACCCAAGTATATAACTGAAGTAACATATATATATATATTATCAGTTGTATTCTGAAAATCAGTGGTTTCCATTGACATGTGACTAGCAAAATCACATCAGATAATTCAGTAGAGAGAAGTAGTGCAGCATCGGTGGGTCAATTCAATTGCAATCAAACTTGAAGAAGGAATAAGATGTGAATACATCGAGTTTTCTTCTATACAGACAGGTAAAGGAGGCAAAATTATGTACATAGAAGACAAATGCATTAGGATAAAAGGGAGAGAAATAGGCGAGACACAATTGATTCCACAGCACATGCAAAGGAGGAGGAGGAGGGGGGGGGGTTGGTGAAACGGGATGAGAGTACCGATTTAGCAAAGGAGGATTGCTCCAATTTTTAACTTAGATGTAATGCGGAGTCTCCTGACCGGTTAGCAATCGGAAGATTGAAGTGGGCATTGTACGAATATAGATTTCACCAACTGCTGTGGCAAGGAGATTGACAATATATTCGTGAGGAACTGCAACCACTGATTCACCATTAATTTCAATGATACGATGATCCACTCGAATGCCACCTCGTTCTGCAATGCCACCGCGAAGAAGGCTGCAAATTACACCATCCTGGACACTGAAGCCAAGTTGGAACTTTTGATCTGGTCGACGAATGAGGACCTCCACCACTGGAGAGCAGTTGACTATTACTAGCTTCACGGCTGTTTGATTCTTAGTGGCCTGAAAAAAATAGGGTATAAATATGCACTTCGTCAATTGTAATTGATAGCGAGGGACCATAGAATGATACGTTTCTGATAAGGCTAGAAGGGCAAAATAGATCCGTACCAAACCAAAAGATCAGTTTCCTAAACATTTAGCTAAGGCTGTAGGCACGATTCCATTTGGTGAAAAATGGGATGAGTGAACTTCTCTTCTGCGTGTCTTAACTGATTTTCTCATCAAAAAGAAGGAAGTTGGAGAATACTTCATGGGAATGAAAAAGGCATTGATTCCTTAGCTGCGTATGGCAACGCCAATGCTGTCTAATAGGGGGGGGGGGGGGGGGGAGGGTATAAGGGAAGAGATGCATGGAGGAGGAGGAGGGGGGAGGGGAAAAATGGGCGTGACAAGCATAGCAGAACACTTCCAGAAAAACTCCCATGAAGGAGTTCACTATATTGCAATCAGATGACAGCTTATTTGTCAAACGCATTTCAAAATAATGCCAAAAGTCACACGACTTGTGCTACAAAAGAAAACGCACTTTCGCAAAGAAAAATCGTTGTTTCAATAAAAGTGCAAAACAAAATGATTGAAGAATTTGAGTCAAGATTTCACCTTTTAGAATACTTTATTTCCTACTTCCAACACCAAAGCACCCACTGCATTCCCAACTTGTAGTCCTCAAAAGGAGATAACTTGTTTATGAACATTAAGAAGGAGAGCATTAAAGAGACTTCTAGTGGCCTTTACCGTGTCAAACTTTGCCCAATTTCAAATAAAGCCTCATCTATCCACACATGACCGCAAGAAAAAATGAATCGAAGTGGACCGATCAGGCGTTCAATTAAAACAACTTCTCAACGAATTACGAATCGCCCGGACATTTATAAATAAAATAATTAAGAAAACAAAACTTTAGAAAATATGGTTTTCGTTCCATGTTTACGAAACGCAAAGTAAACATCTTTCCATCCACGTTTCACTTCACACTTCCATTCCTCCGCCATTTTGATATTTTTTCGTAAACAGACACTATTGCATGGATGAAGCTTGCTAAAGCTTTTGAACAAGGATTAGATTAAATTGGAAGGGCATTTGATCGAAAAAGGACCTGTGTAGACCACTTGAATATATATATAAGATTTTAAACAGATTCTAATGACAGTTCATCTTAAGATAGTAAAAAATACATTTTATATTACAATTATATTTAAATTTCAAAACACACAACATACAAATACGAATAAGTACCAAATTTGAGGTGCAAATAAACCTTGTGGTACTAGTGCCTCAGTGAGATAATAATTCAAGGTTGATCAGATGAATTGCTTGTGCGTTAGAACATTCTAGTATGTGGGGCATGTGTACAAAGACCCCACCCAAAACCAATCGGCGATCAAGTTTACGCAAGTTAGTGTATTGTTGGTTCTGTTTAACGATGATATGCATATTTGGCAGTTGGAACATTCGTTCACTCATAACTTGTTTGTTTGCACGTATGCTTACGCTCTTACTCATCCGATTGCTCATTGTGATTTGTTCTGTGCACGATGGCCTACAACTGTGTTCCACTTGTGTGTTTGAAAACGACTGGCGTTGTTAGCTGTTTGGATTCTACGACCTGGTTTTACTCCAGTAGTTCCTGCATTTTGGCGGCTCATCAGAGACTGGTGACCTGTTTCTACTACCATAGTATTACAAAGCGGGGTGTGCGATAGACTTACCTCCACGTGGTGCAACATACAGTAAAAGGTCTATTAACCGGCAGTTGACTTCTCACTTCAAACTACCATCACCCCACCGTATGTCATATTCGACCCCTTCACAGTACTCATCTTACCTCTTCACTGTTTTTGTGCATGTCTGCCTCTTTTACATTTGTGAATCATTATTCTGTCACACCCCCTCTCGACTTTTTGTCACTATGATGTTCCTCCTCCTCTCTGCGAAGCCCGAAGTCAGCTAAAGGGCTAATGACAACTATCAAAACGCCTGCCATTTGAAATAAATAAATATAAACATTACAAAGAAAAAATCCCCCATTTTAGAAAATCAATAAGCTATTGATGATAAAACCCACAATTTTCTACTGTTGTCCAGGACACAGTAAGGGAAACAATGGGAAGTCGTCTGAATGACGAGAATAACAAGAGATTCCAGTAAGGTGTGCCACAGGGCGGGGTTCATACGCACACACACACAAAGTGAAAACAGTACATCACGAGTCTTATCTTTTCTCTTAATCAGGAGCAGAGTTAACCATATTTTCAAGGGGATAAGGAGGAGGGAGGGACGGGGGGGGGGGTTCGGATTCGAAATGATGTTCAACGTTCGTCATTTGACTCATAGATTTGTGCAGGGATGGTGGGAGAGTTTTTTAAACGATAATTTCGTGGTTGATCACACCCCACCTCGCTACATTTGTAGCTTTAAGTTAGCATAATACTTTGTGTTGATATGATACGGAATAGTAAACATATGAAGCGCACTTAAACGTTGATTTTAATAGAGAGAACGATTTTAAAATCTAAGTAAAACTGCTTATTTAGATGCCAATCTTATAGGCGATTGGCAAAATATCAGTGACTGTTTTTCGTTAGCGCTTCCATCTTTTCTATTTTAGATTATAAATGATAATTTTTTCTCCTTTCTAGTTCAAAGAGCGTAATTAATTGGAAGTTAAACTGCTAAAACAAATTGGAAAGCAAAAATAGCCGAAAGTTCAGAAGAATTATACAAATGAATAATTACCACAATGGCATTTTGACAATGCATCGAAAAAGTAAGTAACGATTCGTATAAGATCCAAAATAGGATGATTTTGAAGAAAATAGGAGTTGGGAAGCGGTCCAACAGAGTTAATAAGGAGAGGTATTACCCCAATAAATAGGATTCACCCATTATAAAGAGTATGCTAACAAAAAACCTGCGGATCAATTTAAAGACCTAGTGGTCAGAAACAACTAGGCTGCTATTCGTCGACCTGCATCGATTAGCTCCATAAGAGAGGCTCTGGGATACACACCTTCCTGCTACTTATTAGTACAAATGATTCTTCCATCACTTTCAATTAAGGGTTCAAGGTGGTCATGCAATCTCATGGAGTCTTATTTGACAAGTTGGTAAGTTACCACCAGCGCGCACCAAAATTGAACCACAAAAACGCGTCATGCTTATTGGAAGCAATCGTTTCAATCACTAGATGCCTTCGATGAGGGACAAACACGTTTTATGCAAGTACATTTAACGCATTCAAGAGAATAAAATCCTAATTGAAAACCAACATTGAGTGAAGTGAAAAAGGGTTTTAGAAATATTGGGTGGGCAACTAAGTCATTGCGTTTTTGTTGACAGATTCACTCTATACTTTCTTTTGTTTTGTTAACGTGGCCAGAGCATCTAACCTATATTTTTTTCTTACTGTATGGGCTTCTAGGTTAATTAGTAAAAAATTTTTTTTGTTTAGTTCTTTAGTTTTGTTTTTATCCCAATTTAAAAATGAAAGAACAGGACGTGCACTTCCGACACATTTTATTGTATTACTTCCGAAAAGGCAAGAACGCATCGCAAGCACAAAAGAAGTTATGTGCCGTATATGGAGATGAAGCCTTAAAAGAAAGGCAGTATCGAAATTGGTTTGAAAGATTTCGTTCCGGTGATTTTTCACTGAAATATTCACAACGATCTGGCCGCCCAGTCGAAGTGGATGAAACCCATATCAAGGCCATTATCGATTCAAATCGTCACAGCACAACACGAGATATTGCAGAGAAGCTCAATGTGTCGCATAAATGCATTGAAAATAAATTAAAAACCCTTGGTTATGTCAAGAAACTTGATTTATGGATCCCTCACCAGTTAAAGGAAATTCATTTGACGCAACGGATTAGCATCTGTGATTCGCTACTGCAACGCAATGAGAATGATCCATTTCTGAAGAACCTAGTTACTGGCGACGAAAAGTGGATAGTTTATAACAATGTTACTCGCAAGAGATCATGGGTGAAGAAGCAAGATCAACCAGCCCAAATAGTATCAAAAGCAGAGATTCACCAAAAAAAGATTATGCTGTCAGTCTGGTGGGATCACAAAGGAATTTTGTATTTTGAACTCATGCCGCAGAACCAAACGATAAACTCAAATGTGTATGTTGAAGAACTCGAAAAACTGAAGGATGCAATTGAAGATAAGCGGCCGGCATTATCAAATCGGCGGAAGGGTGTTGTTTTCCATCATGATAACGCAAAGCCCCCCCCCCACACATCTTTGGTTACTCGGCAAAAATTATTGGAACTGGGTTGGGATGTTTTGTTTTGTTTTGTCACAGCCACCATATAGCCCTGACCTTGCGCCTTCGGATTACCATTTGTTTCGTTCCATGCAAAACTCTTTAAATGGTAAAATTTGTAACAACGCGGATGATGTCGGATCACACCTAATTCAGTTTTTTAATAGCAAAGACCAGACATTTTACGAACGGGGAATTTTTACTCTGCCAGAACGATGGAAAAAGGTCATCGACAAGAACGGCCAATATCTAATTGAATAAAGTTATATTTTTAAACAAAAATTCCGAATTTGCCTTCTTATTTGAAATCGGCAATGACTTAGTTGCCCATCCAATAGCAGCGACTAGAAATCATAGCAAAAAGTAAGAACGCACAATCTTTAAAAGCATAGATAAATCTAATTATCTGAGCTTTGCTTTACTTTTACTCGCCAGAAAATCTTTAGCCTTCTATGAAAATGGCATTTCCAGGCTAACAAATTTTGCATGAAAACAAATGAAAATGTCTTTCTAGAGCGACTCTTTGATAAAAACAATGGTCGAGAAGTAACCCATTTCCTTTGACTCAAAGTTAACCAGATCAGATCACACATTCAAGGTGACTTAAATTTTGACGATCTAACTTAACTATTTTCTGTGGAGATTGGCAACCGAATAATGAAGTAGCTACATATCAAATTTACGTGAATGCTCATATAAAGGAAAGCAACGTTATCACTTTATCGAAGAAGGGGTGTGCGATAGACTTACCTCCATTTGGTGCACCCTGGGCAACGTATACTCATATGGCAAAAAAGTCTATAAACTGGCAGTTGACTTCTGACTTCAAACTACCATCACCCCACGGTATGCCATATTCCACCACTTCCACAGTACCCACATTCCTCTTCCTTTTTGTCCACCTTTGAGTCTGTGAAACATTCTTCTGTTTCTCCTCTCTACATTTTGTGACTTTGATGTTCCTCCTCCTCTCGTGAAGCCCGAAGTCAACTAAAGGGCTATTGAATGACTATCCAAACGCTTGCCATTTGATATAAATAAATAAAACTTCATCGGAGAAATAACTACACCATAGAAAATAGCCGAGGATCGATAACTTTAAATGCGTAACAATCAGAATCTCAGTTTCAATAATATTAAGAGTGCTCTACCTCTCTATCTATCTTATTAAGACTATGACGAGATTCAAACAGTGTTAAAGGTGATGAAGAAATTAACTGAACAACCCTCCGAATTACGTGGAAAATTGTAGTTAATGGCATGGAAGGGAACAACGAAAGACAAATGAATGTGATAACCAGGTGCTGGCACTGGGTATATGCAGATAAGACGGGTGAATTAGACGAGTGAAATGTTGCAATTGAGTTTTGGCCAGAGAGAGATTTGAAATGCATCGATTGCACTTCGCTTACACAAACGTTCAAAAATGAAAAGTATCCCACCCAGCCTAGAAAGTTTAAATCGCCATGGATTTCCCGCATAAAGTGCTCAAGAGCTCTTTAACCTGATTTGAGAGACGAACAAGAGAATAATCCCTACTCCAAAAACCGAGTTCCCTTGTACACTCTAAAGTTATGCACCCACCCATCCAGTTAGTATAATAGGCTTGAAAATAAGACACCAATATTAACATTTTAACTCCTAATAGACTACTCACCTTGAAGTAGGATTGGCAAGTGGAAAGAGGAAGACCAACGAGACTCTGACCATTAATGGAGATGATTCGATTGCCAATATTGAGTTGTCCACAGCGTGCAGCGGGTCCCGAAGGATGCATGTTGGCTAGGACAGCGGTAGGCAGGACACTACCCCAGCCGGACTCCACAATAACAACGCCGAGGGCCTCTCCCTTTGACTTTGGAATTATCACCTGTAAATGCAAAAGAATATTAGAATTTATCCCGACTCAGATGTAAGGTACGGGACGAAGAAGGGATAGCATAGTTGAGAAGATTACATTTGTCCTAAGACGGAGAAAGGGAAATATAGAGAATTTGAAGAGGATAAGCAAGGGGACTTTTACCCCGAGTAATGTCATAAGTAATCATTACAAACCAATTGGCATACGTCATTTGAGACCATTGCCTCAACGATATTACGGAGCAGATTTAATAACAGACGGCATGTTATCACACTTCTAGTCACCATTTAGTAATGATAACCAAAATGGTGTAAACCAAAGCAATTTATTTATACGAAAAATAAAGTATGGCCTTTAGCAAGTAGTGAGCCACAACTACATCTGAAAGCGTATAGTTAGGACAGCGCATACAGAGACATATAGAATGTAAACCTCCATATAACAAATTTCACGCAGTCATGAAAAACATGATTTCTATCAAAATGATTATCAACAACAACCTCCGCATATGCTTCAATATATTTATAAAAAAAAAGACTTGGACAATGTACTGAAGAAAAATGAGGGGAATGAGTCACCTAAAAGCAGTTATTAAGAAACTCGGTTTCTATGGAAATCTCGAGAGTTTATGAGGCTAAATGAACGCCTCTCCCCAGATTTTGTACTCTCGATTAAGGCATAAGGACTAAGTTAGGCCATGTTTCGTGAAGTATTATGCAATTCTTAAAAAAACTGCCTAACAATAGAATGGAAAGTTTCATTATCAGAGACAGGATCCTTTCTTTTATTAAAAGAGCAAATTTTAGAACGAAAAAAACAAAGAAGGATGAAATCGAAATGAAACCAGCAAGACTACAAAAAATAGGACTGCAACTTAAACGGGAACACAATTAGTCAGTAAGTCGGTGATATGGATCTAAATTGCCATTTTGGGGAGGGAAGGCAATTTCTGCGTTGAAGCTGCGCCGATTCACATCCAATAACGGAGCACTAATGTCCAGGAGATGATAGACACACACAGCCCAGCTCCCGCGTTAGACACAACATTTCGAGAACGAATTGGCCATTGGCTGATATTAGTATTAAAACAAGGAAAAGTTGCTTAAACTAAATTTCGTCAAATTGCGCTTAGAATTCCAATTTCAACAATAATTTAACACCAGTCAAACCCTGCACCTAAAGTTATTTCCAGTGCCAACTCATGAGAGATTTTTACTGTCAAATCGAATGGTACATAGGCTTTTATCTCCTTTCAAGACTTTGCCAACACTGGCTCTCATTCTACCTCATCCTCACTTTAACAAATTAACCACAAAGTCACAAAATGGAAGCGTGTTTCAACTACTACGATGCATACCTGGGAGTTGCAGACATAATTTGACTGATTAATAGATTTGATTCAATTAAAAGCCTTTGAATTAGCACGAATTTTATCCGAATTTTGCACAGTCTACTGCAAATCACATGATCCCAAAAAAACATCACTCGATTAACCCTCGTTGAAAGAAAATAGGCAGGCCAATTCACCATCTTGACGAGAAAAGAAACCTGATTCTTAAGAATCCAGAGTACCAAAACCACTTTCTAATGGTTTATAATAACAATAACCAACTAAAACAAATCACGCCTGCAACGTTATTGAATAATAATTATGTGGGACCCGGAAGTTTTTTCTCAAATTGACCAAAAAAGGGGACATTTCTTTTTACTTCCTCAGAAATCTACTTCTAGTCGTGTTATCAACGAATGGTACTTTAACGTATACACCAATTTTGATCCCTTCGAGAGCTATAACACACCACGCATACACACACCCCAAAGCCATCACGCAAATGGTCGTGCTAAGGGAGTAAACGGCTCTACTTTTTTTGTTCTCCAACTCAAAACATTAGATTACCATTTACTAGGTAATAAATTGCCCTCGCCTGCGCCACTTACTACCTAAAAACAACAGCAAAAATAGATTGGCAACAGAAAAGCAAAGGATCGACAATGGTGAGAAGAAAACGATCAAACTAACTCAATAATGACCTAACCAATCATATATAGACACACAAAGAAAACATACAGAATGACCATATTACCAAATTCTGTGTGGTGAATTACCTCATAATCTTTTGTGTAATCGAAGGCATACACATAACGTTAATGTAGATGAAGGACGGTTGAAAAAAAACCATTAACATAATTAGGATGTCGAGCGAATAAGGTTGAAGATGGACAAAAAAAATAAGATTATCACCAAGGTGCGCAAAATAGAATTCAACATATATTTTTAGTCTTCTAATTGTAAATTTAAAAGAAATATTTAAATGAACCTCTTTTTCCTGGTCCTTGTCCGAGAAGAAGGCGAGCTCGTTTCGAAAGATTTCCTGTTGGTGCATCATATTTTGGAAGTTGCGTTCCTGGAAAGCTTCCGGATCTTCTACGCCATTTTGTCGCAGGAATTCGAAATAAGCTTCTTGGAAAGCTTTCCCGATGGCTTGGGTAATCATTTGGGTCTAATAAAATAGAAGGAGGCTTGAGCATTAAAAGTATACACCAGTGTGTGGAACTAAAGTAATTCACAAATGCATTGCTAATTTGGACAGCTTGAATCTAGGAGTTATAGGTGAGTAATCAGCTCGTGTATACCATTCACAACAGACTGAGATATGCAGATATGTATTATATACAATATTGGATGAATAATTACTCCGGTATTCTTGACAAAAAAGAAGCCGTCTTATCACCCTCTTTTCATTTTATTCATTCCAACGGTTGAAAAGGCCTATGATATCTCACATGATATTCCACAAACTACAGATTCAGCTTAGCAATGATGAGACAATGCAATACATGACAAAAATATTTCCCAGAATCTCAGGCATAACCAAAAGTGACTTACTTAGTACAAAATGTCTTAGCATTTTAGTAGTTAATAAACGATTGTGAGCTAAGTCAATATCTACATTTTGTGATTGTACAATACGTCGTCCGTTGTAAAGTTTGAGAAAAAGTGTCTAACATGATAAACGACAGGATTTAAGTTAAAAATGTCGACAAGCTAAACCATGAAAGCAGTGATGTAAAATAGAGAAAACTATTGACAATGCTAAATTGTAAGGAGCCAAAGGAGTGATGGAGAAAATTGGCTAAACAGCCTCTCTTCAAAGGTCTACGAACCTCATCTCTAAGACAGAAATACAATAAAGGCTGGAGAAAATAGAGTGATAATTTACATATCTTACAACTAGTAAAAAGTGCATGATTGGATCAGAATAACAACTTAATATTTCGGGGGTTTAAAACTCGAGCACTCAGGGAAAAAACAAGAATCTTTTTGTTGCGTCAGAGGAGAATTGTTGCAGAGACCATGATCTCCTCACAATTTTGAAGGCCAGTGGGGAAAATTATGTCACAAGTTAGTTTCTTCGATGATTCTGATGGCCTTCAGACATCATCCATTCCCGCTGTCAAAGAATATAAAACAGGCGAGGTTTGTATAAACACCTTTAACAAACAAATATTATTCCCTAAGATTTACCCAAAGCACCTCGCACTTCAGTTTTAAGATGTGAACTAAACAACCAACAGTAAATGCTTAGAGGTAAGTTGTCAATGTCAAATGCGGTTTTCGTGTAGCAGCAAGTGAAATATCGAAGTAATAGCTCACCTCATCACTCTCAAAGAGATGGCAGACAATTTTGGCTGGAGGAAGAGGTCGATCTGCATCTGGGGATTCATCGGAAGGAGTGGCTGTGGAAGTGGAGGGAGTGGGAGAGTTGTCAGTATTGTTAGCAGCAGCAGCCGCGTTTTTGGGAGGAACTGCAGGGTGGGGACGGCGCACCATGAGAACCAGAATACTACCCACATCGGCGATGTAGGAAATTGTGCGCAGATCGTGATCCATCACAATCTCCTATTTGGAATGCAAATTAAAAAAAACATAAGATTCGCCAGTCCTGTTGAAATAGGAATATATAGCTGATCCCATTCTAACAATTAACGGCAATCTCTACAATTGACAGATACCTCTAACAATCTAGATCCGTTATCTATTAGAATTCACAGATAAACAAACGCTTAAAAATACAGACTATATCTAACATAGAGCGATTAGTCCTCTAACTTCAGGAGCATAGAATCTTTATTGAGGAGGTGAAGAGCTGGGACACAGACTTTAGGATTAAGAGCTCAATACTATGGAAATTCGGTAAGAAGCGCTACACAAAGCCGGATAAAGATGGTAGTATGTGCAACAGTCTCTGAAGCCAACGTAACTCACCTTTTCAATTTCAACCAAAAAGCGAAAACGCTGGATTTGACTTCTACATGGCGAAATTCTTGACCAAAACCAAAAAATAAGAGGGGAAGGGGGGGGGAGTGAAAAGGTTGACAAAATGCAAGCTTAAACTACCAATTTTATTGAGATTGACGATAAAATTCTATATGGTGAAGGAAAAAACTGATCAAAGGGGTTCAAAAACAGACGGCCCCATATGTCATGGCTAACTCTTGTCTCAATCTCCCCTCCTAAAAACCCGCACTGTGGTATACACATGTGAGCAAATCTATAATCACAAAAGTCAAATCGACTTATTGTCCAGGCCAAATTTTATCAATTGTTAGAATACTGCCAATAAGATTACAACTAAATAGTATACTGATTGCAAAGGAAGGGACACAGAAGAGGAAGATAACTTACATCGAGATCTTTGTTCAAGACGAGGACACATTCAGTAGAAACAAAGAGTTCAACCGGGACGCTGGGCTGAGATTCTCCATCCGGAGCCTGGAGAAAAACGGAAACATTATCACTAGCCAGAAAACGGTTTGCCATTGGGAATGATACCTCGACGGAACGACGCCTTTATAAAAGCTTCAGCACTGTTCAAGATGCAATAAGCATTCGGCCAATTTGAAGCAACAACGAATGCAAGAATTTAATTTAACATACACAAGTGCAGATGTCACTGGGATTTTAAGTCAAACAAGGTCATACGAATCCTCCTTACTTGCTCGTTTGGTATTACTAATCTACATTGCGAGCAAGAGATCGGACAAAACCCGAGCATGCAAAAATGGCCAAGGAAACTATTAGGAGAGATCGATCGAAAGGGATTCAATAGCAGGCTTTAGGCAAACTGAAGGGATAAACGACAACAAGTGATAAAGGGCACGATTCGGGAGGTAAGTATGTATGAGTGGGAATAGGCGCACCCATCGCGCATGCTTAACCTACCACCTGGTGATTTGAAAGGAAATAAATACAATTTAATGAATGACAAAAACTAGGAAAAGGAAGATGAGGAGATCTAGGTACTAGCATCTTGTTCGTTTTAGATAGAGGTGCTTGAAACAATAAAACGGAAGGAATCACACTACTCATTTCCCCTTCCCGTAGGATATCATGCTGTACACCACCACCTTACAAGGCTGAAAAATAGAAATTAGACGGAATAAATGCCTAATGAAGCGAGGCTATTCTAAGCGATTTGCAATTCCTCTCCGTCGTTTCCACTCCATTTGATCACTGCCAATGCCCATTTGCATTATGAAACTCACTCTAATCGATCGTACTCGTTAATAAATGCCCTAGAAATTCCTACTCTCCTCAGAAGGAAATTGAAGGCTGTCTATTGAAATTATTTTCGAAGGACTTCATCACACATCCTGACATCTTCCTTCTTCGTGTGCACTTTACATTGAGGCTCTTCTATCCTTAAACATTTGAATGGAACAATAAGGTTGTTCCACTGAGGACTTCCTACAAGTACTTCACTACCGTAGAAGGTCCAATACACTTTATCTGCAGGTCTCTCCCTCTTAACGGGCAATAATAAACAAGTAAATCACATTGTTTATATCTTATGAATAGACAAAACTAACGCTGATATTGTTTTAGTTGGCTTTTCAATAGGGAAGGCCCTAAAATGGATATTTCGAAAATTAATTCGTTGAGAACTTTTTAATTAGATAAATCCGCAGCCACAATCATCTAAAATTTCCATTTGGGCTATTTCTTTTTTTGTCTAAAAAGGATAATCTGTAAAGGAAGCACTCGAATTCAGGGAATATGTAAACAGACAAATTTACAATAAGTCAGAAAGATCATTACCTTGACCCTTTGAACGGCTTCTTGAGCCTGGTGTAATCGATTTACTTTGGAGGGATGATCTTCACAGATAAGTTGAGTACTACCCAAATATCTCGAACGATAAAGATGCCCCTCAATCAAGCGATCCGGGAAACTTGGATGATGGACAGCAACTACGGAGGAAATTGAAAGTCGTAAAAATATGGATAACTTCTTGAAGAAATTGTAAATGATTCAATCTCTTGTCCAATGGGGTGTGCGATAGGCTTACCTCCACGTGGTGTACCCTGGGCAAGGTATACTCATACGGCAAAAAAGTATATTAACCGGCAGTTGACTTCTGACTTCAAACTACCCTCACCCCACTGTATGTCATATTCGACTACTTTCACAGTACTCACCTCACCTTTTTCCACTTTTGTGCCTGTCTCCTTTACATCTTTTAAACTCTCTTCTGTTCCCCCTCTCCCTCTCGACTTTCTGTTACTTTGATGTTCCTCCTTCTCTGTAAAGTCTGAAGTCAACTAAAGAGCTAATGATAACTTTCACAACGCCTG